TCCTCTAAATCGTAGAAATGAAGGCCACCTGTTATTGTATTCTAAACCATGCAGAAATACAGGTAATTTTCTAAAATTTTCCTACACTTACGCGTATGCAGCAGCAGCAGCCAAACTTGAGTACGCGGCTCTCGCCAGCAGGTGGCGCTGTGCGCTGCATGCCGGGACCGAGTGGAGCCGGCAGGCGGAGCCCCGGGCGGCTCTGAGCACCACATGGGCACCCGCCGCCGCCTGCTTAGCGGCTGTAGCTCTTGGGCACGTCCCAGCTGCGGCGCGGTGCGGCCGCTGTGGTTCACTGCCCGACTCTTTGCTGCAGTGGACGAGGTTTGCTGACGTTTGTGGGGTCGCCTGTAAAACTCAAGAATGCCTGAACTGCAAACATTTCTTTAGAAATACGTTTACCAGATGCAGCCCTGTAGGCAGACTCATTATTGCTGCAGTGTGGGAAGGGTTACTTACTTAAAGAGATGAGGTACAGCTCTTAAAGAGACAGCGCAGGATACTGTTTTAGAGGTAGTAATTTTTTTGTTTCTTTGATATTGTTTTGCTCTAGGGTTTTTTGGTTGTTTTTGGTTTTTTTTTTTTTTGTCTGCATGCTTTTTTGGGGTTGTTTTTTTTTTTTTTTTGGTTGTTGTTTGGTTTTTTTTTCTTCTTTGAGATTGTTTTGTTGTTGTTTTTGTTTTTTTTTTTTTTGTCTTTTTTTGCTGTCAATTAGTATGTACCTGCTGGATTAGGGTTGCGTCTGCTCTGTGCAATGCATATCCTGCACTCCTTATTTGAAACTGATGGACTGATGTTTACATTCCAAAACAATGCAAAGGGTGTGTGTGTCATGGTGCTCTGGCTCTGACATATGTCTGTACAATAGCACCCCTATGCTTTACAGCCTGACAGAGAAATACAGCCATCCCCACAGATTGCAGGGTTGTTTGGTGGCTGCAGGAACACCAGGCTGAGCTGCAAGCTGAAATAACCTTTGGGAATGTGTTTCTGCGTGCTGATTATCATGCACAAGAAACCTGCATTCAGCTCTTAGGGAACTAGGGTAGAAGAGATTGTGAAAATGTTTGTCAGAGAAATTATGGATTTAGAATTGTACTGAAATGCTGTCATTTGGTTAGCTTTACTTGTTTGGATGATTAACAGTCACTTTTGGTTTGGAAAAAGGAAATTGTGGTGTTGTTTTTTTGTTTGTTTGTTTTAATATAGCACATTAGCAAACTATAATAATAACACAACACTGAAGTGTCAGTCCAGCTTGGCACACACTCCCCAAAGTGCAACAAAAAGTGAGTCTGTGAAACATATACATAAAGCTTCTCACTTCTCTTTGTGTCTGCCACTGATAAGTGCTAGTAAAAAATAAAGACAATTAGAAGATGAGCTTGTTCAAACAGTATTCTTTTTCTTTCTAAAAAAAGTTTTCTGAAGTTTTTAAGTTGGCACTTATTTTCAGCCAACTGTGTATAATTAGGCTTTCCAGAACATTGTGATAATGTGTGAGGTGATCTGAAGTGTGTCCCTGAAACACATCTGTGATGCGTTTTTAAGAATAGTTTAAAAAATAAAATAAAATCTGTGGAAACACTGAAGAGTTTGCATTTGGGCTAGCAGCAGTTATAAGTGAGCAGTTTTGAAGAGATCGGATTGTGTCAGACATCTGGGCAAAACACTTTGTCAGTTGCTTTGCTAATATTTTCTAAGCAGTTAGAATTCAACCAACAAAGATCATCTTGGACTGTTGGCCTTAAGTTTTGGTGGGGATGGGAAGTGCAGCTGAAGATCCTATTGGGCTAGAGATCAGGAAGAAACGTGATAGTCCTTCAATCCCCTTCTTCCTAGGTAGAAAAACAGAAATAATCTTGTGCAAATAGTCTTTACTATAAAACATCAGAAGTCCAGGTGTCCAGCAATATCTGTTGATATCCCTTTTCAACATCAGCAAAATATCCAAACATTATGATGAGGATGATGGTATGTACGTTCAGTTCTGAGGATATTACCCTGGGTAGTGTGATGTAGAGGCACAAAGCATCTGTCTGAAGCCAAATGGAGGTTATATCGTTTGGACGGCACAAGTGTGAAAACCAGAGTGGTGTCAGAGGCTGGGATGTTAGCACAAAATAGAAGCTGTAGAAGAATGTAAATATATGCGCTAAGTGTATGTTTATGTAGCAATCTTACAGTTATTAAGGGAAGATTTGCTAAGTTTTAGCTCGTGTTCTTGGTAAAGGACTACTTTCTTTTGGGGATGGAGGTGACTTTATAGGGAATAGTTAGTAAAATTTTCAGTGAGATACAGGATAGAGCTGAGGAGACAAATGGTCCATAAAATGACGTGCCAAAAAGTGTTGGCGCTTAGAACCAAAAATAGAGCTTCTTCATAATCTTGTATGAAACATGAAATGAGTGACAGGATCAACAAGATGAGGTTTAGTAGTTAGTAAATGTGGGGGGGAGGGAAAGACCAGCCTTCATTAGACTTCTTGGCATTAAAATGTTTTTGATATAAAAAACAAAAAATTCCAAACTCACCTGCCAGTGCACAGTGAAAATCATGATGAGGTGACTGATAACAAATGTTTTTCTATGCTCCATGCATCAGTAGAATTTGGCAGTTGCCCTGAAGGAGGCGAAGAATAAATCTGCGTGTTCAGCATTCCTCATGTATCAGCACCTGCTTCTTTTGAGAGACTTTTAGATTTTACAGAGCGCCTGAAGCATTAGCAGAGAAATTCAACAAATGTTTAATAGCAGATATCAAAGGAAGATGATGGAAATGTAGAGCTAGTAGTTGTGGAAAACTCTGGGAAGATCCAGGGCTTCTGGGGTTTGGTTCCATCTTTTTTAATCTGGAAGATCTCAGATGGTAATTGAACATGGTAATTCTGAATTATGATACAGGCAGAAATAATAGATTTTTCTCCTGACAGTCAAGAGCATCTAAAAGAACTATAAATGATTGTCCATAAAGTAATGTGAGATTTCGCTTCGTTTAACAGGTGACACTGAAGTGGGGGATGAGTTCATGGTAGCTGAGTGCCCCTTGGAGAGCTCAAAGCAGGACAAAGTACAACACTGTGCAGAAACCTCTGATCCTCTGCACTGACCAGATGTGATACAGCAACTGACAGATAAAAGTCTTCTGAAGTCTGAGGGGTTTCTGAGTGCAAATGAGAGGATACACTTAGACTACTGCAGTCTTATGCAAAAAAATATTTTGCATGAGATTCTTGAACTTTCTGTGGCTGAAATTTGCATCTCAGCAGTAGGACACAGCAGACTTTCAATATTCGGGGTTTAACGTTCACTCAAAGAAGCTTGCTAGATCTAATGCAAAGCATCTTGTGAAATATTCATTTTTCTGTTCTGTCAGTAAAATATATGTGCTGTAAACTGAGAATCTGGCCCATGCCACATGGGCTAATTATCCCTATTTGTGGTACTTTTGTTTAACAATAAAGGAAACTAGCAGAATAAACTGGCACAATACTGACATTTATGAGGTAAACAATACAGACCATACTATTCATGGAGATGTCCCAAATTTTAGTTGAAAAGTGCGTCAGGCAGCTAAGAGGGAAAATCAGTCGATAGCTAAAATATTTTAAATTGTGTGCATCTGTCACAGTCTTTTCTCAGTGCTTAATGACTTTGGGGGTTATTTTTTTCTTATTTCCATTTGGAAGTGGATCATACAAGGTTGGAAATTGTGCTTGCTTCCTTGCTTAGCTTTTTAAATTCAATGTGATTCAAACTGCTGTTACCACTTCTCATCCAGCAATGAGCAGCTCTCCCTATGCCTTCTTCTAAGGCACAGATTGCAGATGAATGTCACAAAACCCCTTCTTCTTCATTTTCTTGTTTGTAGAATAGATCTGAATTTCCAGAAGGAGATAGTGATGCGTCCCAGTCATTCCTGCAGGAACTTGTTTGCAGTCTGATATGAGATGAATATTCCCATTTGAGCTTGAATCAAAAGTTTTTGGTGCATGTATCCTTTCTTAAATAGCATAACTTGCCTTCAAAATATTTTAAACTTATTTTACACTATATATATGTGTATGTTGCTATTCATATATATATATATATATATATATATATATATATATAAAGTAATTTTAAATATGCCAATATTAGGATTTGTAACTGTTTATTTTCTATAATCTGGCCATGTTAAAACTATAGTCTTTTTGAAAATGTCTCTAGCTATCTGTTACAGTGAGATTTTACTGAAGGACTTTGTTGATCAGTTTTTCTTAGTTTGAAAAAGCTATTTGAGAACCCCGTACCTATTTTTGTATAAAATCTAATAACAGTATGAAAAAGTTGCTATCCAATTCAATTTTCTTGATGTATTTAACTGCTTTAATACCAGATGAACAACTTGATATTTATGTACACGAAATTGCCTATACAAATAGGGCCTTGACAAAATGCTTTAATCACTTATTTGCTCACATCCTATAATTTTATAGTTAACTTGGGGAGTAAGAGTGATCATTTTTGTTGTATGCTTTTGTGAGCTGGATGTAAATTAATTACAGAAATACAGTGTCAGCATGAATTAATTATGCAAGTAAGCCGTATGGCTATTTATTTTATTTAAATGGCAATAGCTTGAGAAGATCTTTTGTCTTAATAGATTAGCCAGAATTCATTTGAAAAAGTCTTAGTATGTTTAAGGTAATGGGAAAAAAAAATTGCTTTCAGTACATCCTAGCAGAGATCCTGTTTAAAACGGATGACAGCCTGTCACGTTCAGTAGCATATCAGTCATCAGATTTATTCTAATTCCTTAAGCTGAACATTTCATTCAAGCTTGTAGATTGTCTTGTCAAGCTACCAAAAGCTTCATAGCAATTCTGTCAAGCATACAGTTGCACCAGCAGTTCACAAATGAATGCTAAGCTAAAAAAAATGTTGTTTATTTTCTTTAACATTTTATTCATATAACTAAACTTTTCTCTCATGTTATTTTCTCTTCATCTGTTTATCAGAAGGCATTCAAGGAGCTACTTTCTGAACGTGCCTCATCCTGACCATACCCATTTCAGGTCAGGGGCCATTGTTTGTGGATGTGTTGTTTTTACTCATAGCAGTCTAGACCACCGTGGTTATGACATTTCTCCTGTAATCACAAGGGTCCAGTGAGTCTTCTTTTCCTGCAAATGTGAAGAAATGCCACTGCTGCTGTGCATTAGGTCCTTGTATAGTCAGTCCTGCTTTGTGGCACTTGGTGGTGGAGTTCTGACCATATGAGAAGTCAAAATTTTGTTATCAAACCAAATGGTTATGGCGTTCTTCCTGTTTATTCATCAGAATCTCTTTGGAATTTTTTTTATGCTTTACTGGGCACGTTTGCACGCACATGGTGTGGCTGAGTTGGGCTCCTTGCTTCTGTTTCAGATCTGCTGCCTTCAAGGGAAGATGTTTTTCTTGTGGTGTTTTTTTTTTCACCCCTTCTTGTGAGTCTTCTACTTTGCTTAAACGAAAGCTTCTACATAAATTTGTATCACTTGCATACAAATATACAAAGTAGTTGAGCCTGCACAGTAATGAGAACTTGTCTTAAGACACAGTTGGCTTTCTTTAAAATCAAGATGCACAAGTCTAGGGTAGTAAGGCGCTAACAATGATTAGTTGAAGCAGTGCTTATTAATTTGCACTAAAAAAACCTACCCTACAAACTACTAGGTTACAGTATTTGTATGCTTCATACAAGCTCCAAAAAATTGTTCAGTGAAGTGAGTTTTCATGAAAGGCATGTGTCCAGGTTAGATTGATCTCTATATCAAACTGCTAATGCTATGACATTCATTATAAAGTCATGACTGCCCTTTTATAGAGAAGGAAACCACCTTGGTTACCTTTGTCAGCAGTAAGAAAAATTTAATCTGTGTTAATTGTCCACAGTCACCAATTTCAGAATTTAACCCCACTTTCTACTTCCTCACTGGAACTTTTATTTATTCAAATATATGATGATTTTTTTCTGTCCTTTGCATACAGTGCTACGTTTTCTTTCCTGATCAGATGGTTTTCTTCGTTGTAAATTACTAGAGCTTTTACACTGTATTTTCATTTGTTAAATAGCAAATATGTTCTTCTAGTAGGCTTATTCCTTTAACAGGTATTCCATAAGACAAACTGTATGTATCTGAAATCAACTGTGCAGTTGAAACCCCCAGATAAATTTGAAGCCTGAATGCATTAAAAAAAAAAATAATCATTAATATATCAAGATAGCGAATAGTCAGAAAATAAATCATACCTATTATTAATTTTGATTTGCATTCAAACATAGAAATATGTAGTATAGACAAAAACTGATTCTAGACAGATAAAATTCAATTTTACACTAGGATAATTGTTTTATGTATTTTACATTTATTTATAGGATCAGATGAAGTCTTGGAATTCCAACTGAATAAAATGAAACCATTAAGCACTGTCCTTCCTAATACGTTTTCTTCACTTGCTTTATAATGTTAGCAATTTGGATATTTTTTGTTTTCAAATCAGTGATTGTATATTAACTCTCTCACTATAGTCCCTTATGTTACCTGGTCCAAAATTGACATCTCTATTAAAAAGATGTAAGTATAAATCTTGTTTTGAGTTCTATGGCTGAGAATGAAACTGTCGTTGTAATAACACTGAGAAATTAGACTGGCCTAGTTCAAGCAGACTTGTGTGTACTGGAGATCTAATTGTTGGGATCCAACTGCTGTGTAGGTGACAGAGCCCATGACTGAAGGTTTTTTTTCTGTAATAAATTGCTTTCCACTAGTACAGATTATTTTATTCAGAATCAGGTCTTCATTGTGTCCCGAAGAGAAACAAATTTAACTATTTTTCAGATTTGGCAGGATAGTAAAATGAATTCTAAGTCCCCACAGAGAAGAATATACTCTGTTTATGCTTTTGTTCTGTAAGGTGACTCTGTCTTACATACCTCAGCTGTTTATGTCAGAATGACCTAAAGGAGAACGCACTCCAAGTAACCAGACTGCAATCAGTCCGTGGAAATGTGGATGGCTAATTGAAATGACTTAGTTCTCATCCCATTTAGTAAATGGGTTGGATTGCTAACCTGAAACATTGACAGCATGATTTCATATGTAATGAATTGAAGCTGATGAATCCTAGAATAATAAGAAAGTAGTCTCAAGATAATCGTCTGCCTTGCAAAAACTGTTAGACCTGCCAGGTTATTCTGTCAGACTGGATAAAAAGTGCTGGCTTCTAAGACATGTATTGTTCTTGTTGTATAGAAACGGTCATTTTTTTCATCAGTTACTTATTAGAGACCCAGTCCACTAGTTTGTGGTACCACGAAGGTATAAAAAATGGGACATCTATGAAAAATTCCTTTTATCATAAAGGTTTTCTATTAGGTTGTAATGTGTCAAGAGACTCTTCTATCCTGGGATGTACAGTCATTGGGTGCTTAAGTTTCTTTTCTGCACTAGAGCAGAAAAGTGCAGTGATATAAATATGGCTGGGAGCAAAATTTACCTTCTTGCTTTAAGAACTCAGAATTTGATGGTAGCGTAAGTAAACATGGTTGTGGGGTGTAACACTTTTTCTCACACTATACTGAAGGTGACTGCTGTGCAGCTGTACAAGGTAACTCTAATTAAAACAGTTTCCCCTTGAAATGTAATTTTGTTCTTCCTCTTCACTATCCAGTGGTAGACTAATATTTGTCTCCAGGATGTTTTTCCAGGATCTGAAGTGGAATTACAGTGTGTGAAGGTTACTAAATATTAGGCAAAAATTATAATTCTCTTCATAGTTTAAAAGTATCTTTCATATTTCAAAAACCCTCCTGGATCTAAAATTCTTTTGGCAAACATTCACTTTCTTGCACATAACAGAGAAAACTTACTAAAAATAGCATATGCTGCTATCATGCCAAGGTTCCTCTCCAGTAGCTTGTTTCCTGCTTAGTGTACTACTCACTTGCTACTGATTACATTTTCTTTTCAGTAATTCAGTCATCCAGCCTGTTAGAAAGTAAAGTAAAATTAAGGGAAATTAAGAATTACAGAATCACAGAATCACCCGGGTTGGAAGGGACCTCAAGGATCATGTAGTTCCAACTCCCCTGCCTGGCAGGGCCACCAAACATACACATTCAGATCAGGTTGCCCAGGACCCCATCCAACCTGGCCTTAAACACCTCCAAGGATGGGGCATCCACAACCTCCCTGGGCAGCCCGTTCCAGGGCCTAACCACTCTCCTTGTAAAGAAACCACTCAGCTTGTAAAGAATTAACTGTACATCTCTAGTTATTCCACATGTAGCATACATAAATAAAGCAGTGGTGGATGCATACTTATGTGTATATACGTATGTTTGTGTGAATATTAAAAAAAAAAAAAAGAACAAACAAACCTATAATCCATCATTGGATAATTTATCACCAGGTACAGGTGAGGAATCAGTTACTGTGAGAAAAAGCAAAAATTTGTTCCAGTTACTATAGAAATTAATTCTGACTAATGTTAAATCTTTGTATTATCACAAAGGGAAATAACTGATTAGATGCTGTAGTTTTGAAGTCTTGAAGAAATTAAGAGAATGTTGAACTATAATATGAAAACAGTTTCAAAGTGGCATAACTTAATCAGAAAAACTATACTTTTTTATATTAAAGCTTGAAAATGTCAGGATTTGCTCTTGACAGCAAGAAGTCATGTTAAGATTTGCCTTTGTCAGTGAAGAGTCAAGAAAGCATAGCAATCAAGAAAAGTTGCCTTTGGTTATGAAGTTTTTTAAGAACTATTTCAGAAGATTTTCCCCCATTTTTTTTCTCACAGTTTAACTGTGAAATAGAAAGCTATTCAGGAGTTTTTCTAGTGCTATGATAGCACAGAAGCCATCCTAGTGCTAATACCTAACCTTCCTGTCAGCTGCTCTTTCATTGTGAAAGGCAAGATAAATCTCTGGAATCTGAAAGTATTTAGAACATTTGAGAATATCTTGCAGAATTGTTTTATTGGAGCTGTTGACTATATTTTTCTTTTTTTTTTTTTTTTTCTTTTTTCTTTTTTTTTTCCTAAATCTTGTGTTTCATCTGTACTTCTGTTTCTATCAGGTCCTTTTTTGTTACTTTTTAGCGATGCCAAGCAGTACATCCTGCCATGTCCAGAAAATCTGAGAAGCAAACTTCAAAATTTTCAGTGAGATTATATGCATGAGAAAGCAATCACCAAAATAAGCCTGGGTTAAAATAAGTGCTGTCTAAGTAAGGAATTTGCCTCCTTTGTCTTGTAAGTGGATTTAGAGCACTTTTGCTCTGCCCGGGAATAACTGTTGTGTGGCCAAGATTCAGCTACTATCTCAACTTTCTGGAACTGAACCTAATTTCTTCTTTTTGCCTCTGATGTCAAGTGTTTTAGCAATTAAAAAGTTAATGTAGCTTAATGAATCAAGGAATAATGAGTACTAGATATCTGAATTTGTGATGAAGTTGTAAGAAAGAACATGCATCTGTTGCTTTTTGGAAAAAAAAAAAAAAAAGAAGAGAATAATCTCATAAATGATGACAAGATTAAGGAACTCTAGTTTCTCAATGATCTAAGTATTCAAATGTGTTATTTCCAAAACCACTGAAATATTTCATTGATTGCAAAAGAGCAGAAATGGCAGAGCTTACATTCTATGGGGAACCTGACTGTTCTGCCTGTTTTCTAAGTTGTACTGCGCCTTTCTTGGGGAGCCCTTTTTCCTTCTGTTTTCTGTCATTCGTACCTTTAACATTTTAGATGGGAGCTTTAAACATTTCCTTTATACTGAGTGAAAATCACTCTTACACTTTTGATCATTTTTAGTTGCAATAAAGTTTTGAGTGTTTTCCAGTGTAGCTTTGATTAAAGATAAATATATTTTTTCCCCAGAGTAAACAAAAATATTGCAGCAGTTTGATTGGGAATGAAGCATGTGGTCATGTTTTAAATAGTTTTCTTAAAATTTGGCAAGGAGGTCATCCCAATATCAGAAATTTATGCGATAATGTGACTGGTGTTCTAAACATCTTTGTGTTTT